TTTGATTTTTGTTGGTTTTGCATTTCCCACAGCAAACAGTAATAGCAGCAGAACTTTATTTTTCAAGTATCTAAGGGAAGAGAAGAACTAGTCTAACTTTCTTGTGCTGACACAGCAGAGTTCAAAAGGTGCATAACTGGCATAAATACATACAAGATACAGATTTTTAGACTTTTCAGGATTAATGACTATAAAGTGTTGGAACACTAGTAAATCATTCAAGAGCCTGCCTGCTTAGATTATACATCTTTATGTACTGAAATTTAAATGAAGTGTAACAGTGGATCTCCTCCTTTCTTCTCCAGTTCTATAAAACCCACACACAGCCCTGTCTCAGAGGCAAGATAAAGGCTTTGGGTATTCTTCAGCCTGTAAGAAACACAGGATATGTGCAGTTTCACATATGGAAGAACTGTGTGATTTTGGAAGAACAACAATTATGGAGTGACTAGTGCAGCATTCCTTCCTGCTGTCAGCCACTGACTGGGACAATAAGAGAAGTGAGAATTTTTTTCTTGGAAACAACTTTAGTTTTCACTTCAGGGCAAGGAGAGACAGGTTTGATCTAACAAATTGTGATTGTTTCCACGTACAAGAGTTTAGCTTGTTCAAGAACACCAAAGCAGACCTAAATCACCTTAGACAAGTAAAAGTCTACCTTAAAACTTCAGACCCACATTTAGAGCTCCTGCTCACTAAGAACACTATGCTGGCACCCAGAGATACCAACACCAAACTGCACACAACTTGACTTTTGAGCTGAAGCAACTTATTGTTATGCTGATTTAACTGAAAAACCTGAGAAGCCAAACTCATGTACATTGTCAGCTTCTTCCACTTCTCCCTCTTCATTTCAGTCAGCTTCATACACAAATGACATTTAATCAACAAAATTTGAAAGATTTCTTCCCTACTTTAGTTTGTCTTACTTTTGCTATCTCCTACGTAAGAGTTTACTCCAAAACCACAGTGCTTTCCTTGTCTCCATGGACAATGTTATAATGTCTCAGAAGACATAACAGCAATTCATCACTTAGGCTCACTACCCTTGAACACAAATCTCCAGCAGGTAGCCAGGAAGCTTATTTTTCCTAAGCACCTACTGGTATCACACCACAAACAGCCTTAAGACCACAATATCTAATACATACAACCAAGGAGGGAAACCAACATTTTGTACAAGCTTGGTTTATTGTTAAAGAGTCACCAGAAGACATGACTTGAAGTGGTTAAGAAAAACAATTAAATATAAACATTTTTCCCCCGCTGCTGAGCAGAAGTGCTGTAAATTGCTGAGGTTTCACACAGACTCTTTGTATTGTATGCTAACAACGTTCATGTCACTGTGCAGGGAGGAGGGGGGAAATGGGCTGCCATGGATGAACGATTTAACGGTACAAGCCCAAGCCTGGCATGCCTGAAAACACTGCTGAGACTGTGACCTATACAGGGCCACCATGTATAGATAGCTTTATTCATCCCCAGAGCTTATTGCCCCCACCCCACCCCCAGCTCTCTTTCAGGTTCATGGCTCAGAATGCTAATTGCCCAGCTTTTGTCTAGGGCTGGCTCACTGGCTGTCAAGCCAATTCTATTGCCTACTTGACAAATGAGCTCTTTTGCCTCCCTGCAAAGGCCTTAAGGAAGGCCACAAGACTGGATATTGTGCTTTTCTTCTTCACAAGAAAGTTTAAAGGGAAGAATTCAAGCCAACTTAGCAAAAAAAGAGAAACTAGGCACCCAGCCCACAAATCTGTCCCAAATTTTTTTTAACCAGCAGCCAATAGGATTCCTGTGAAGTCTGGATTATTTTTTTACACCCTGCAGTTTTAATGTGACCTGGAACACTATCTTTTTACCTTTAAAAGATTCTGTGAAGCAACGAAAGTATATACAAGTTGATGGCCAGGCTATAAAACCACACAGCTGAATATAAAGCCACACAATTTAAAACAGAAGTTAATCAAAATCCTCCCCACTACCAAATGAAGTTTACAGTAGGAGTCCTGAAGACCTACTCTTGCAAAAACCCCTTACAAATTTACACATTACACAGTGTCAAGTGTCAAGTTCAAGTTTGATAAAGTCAAGTTCAGAGGGAAAGCAGCAAGTCTTCAGAGTGGCTGAAGTCATCGGGCCACCTAGCTATGACTGCATAGAACCATGTCCTGATTGCTTTGGAAAAATCTCCAGAGACTTCTCTGGGCAAGCTGTGCCAGTACTCGGTCATCCTCACATTATAAAAAAATGGTGCTCCCTGATGTTCAGGGGAAACATCACTTGTGTTTCATTTTGTGCCCATTGCCTTTGTCACTGGGCACCATTGAAAACAGGCAGGCTCCATTCTATTTGTGTTCCTCCTTCAGGTACTTCCATACATTAAGATCCCCCCAGCCTACTCTTCCCTGGACTAAACAGTCTTAGCTCTCTCAGCCTTTCCCTGTAGGAGAGAAGCTCCCGTACCTTCATCATCTATTCAGCCCTTTGCTGAATTCTCCAGTATGTAGGCATCCCTCTTGGACTGGGGAGCCCAGAACTGGCTTAGGTGTGGCCTCACCAGTGCTGAATAGAGGGGAAGAATTCTCTTTCCCAACTTGTTGGCAACACTCCTAGTACAGCCCAGGATACATTCGCCTTCTTTGTCACCAGGACACAGAGCTGGCTCATGTTTGACTTAGTGTACACCAGGTCCTTCTGTGACAAGCTGCTTTGTTGTCGCCGGGTGTACCATTACAACAGCCCATAATGCCTAGGGGATATCCACCCTAGCCCCAGGCAAGCAGCCCAGCTAGAGAAGTGCTTTTCAGTTATGTTACACATCTCTCAAGCCCCAGGCTTCACCTCCTTGGCTTTCATCTTCAGCTCCTCATCAGCAGTAAGAAACCTCTGTCTGGGATCTAACTGATCTTCCCCCCACTAAATAACACAGGGCCTATGAATACCTGGAACTTGATCCTGCTGACAGCAGCTTTTGGCCACTGCCTGTCCTCTAAAGACCTGAGTGAAAGAAAAGACTCAAATTGTTTGAAACAAGTCAATTTTTTCATAATTCTTCTACCAAACTCAAATTTGTCTGTGCTCAAGAGCTCTGCAGTTCAGCTATACCTATACAGCATTTTGATTGTTACAACTATGAACTGAAACAATCCATACAAAGCACTTCAGATTAAAACACTTAAAGAAGGTAGGGAAACATGATCATTTTTCAAGGAAAAACCCATGCTTTAAACCAATAAACAGTATTTTATGTTACTCGTTAATTTAGCAAGAAACCTAAAAAATCTACTACATATGGAGCCTGAGTTAATGCATATTAAACTGTAATGGTTTTATTTGCTTGTCTTAAAACAACATGGCATTTTCTCTCACTTTCAGAATATGACTAAAAATGGTTTAAGATTACTTGATCATTGATTGAGATATCCAAATCTCACATAAAAACAAGAGCTTTGGCTTCTGGCTATTAGCAATTATGAATTGATGCATTTTCCCTAGGAAAGGGTACATACTTTCCCACACAGAAAATATGTAAACCCTAACAAACCAGAACACCTTGTAGCTGCTAAGACTGGCATACTTTAGACTTCAAACACTATAGCTGTTTTTCCTTTACCTGCTCATTCACTCTAAAGAGGAATCATTTGTGTTACCTACTGTAATGATACAAAAATGTTCAAATCTCCTCTGTAAAGCCACGCTCTGGAACTTAGACATAGGTACAAGCTCTGAGAGTGTGTTCAGAGTATTAAACAGAACATGTTTTTACATCATTGCTGACTAAAAAAGTCACAGTACCTCTTTCTAAGCCTATCTGAGCTATCCAACATCAGTATCATATGGCATACATATAAATATACATATATGTGTGTATGTATGTATATGTGTATGTAAATATACATACACATGTATATAGGTGTACATAGTGTGCAGTAATTAATATCCCATTACTGTTTGTGATGATCTCCTTCCGAGGCACACACACAGAGCAATTAGAATATAAGTTAACAACTCAAAATTTGTCCTGAATTTTTTAGATGCAGAACTCTGGAGCTTCCAAATCTGTTATTTGCTCTGCTGCAAGCACCAGTTTTTATAACTTAGGTGAAGATCAATTTATAACTTACTCAATGTTTTCCATTAAAAGAAGAAAAACTTATTATGCAACTGAATAACACAGCATTGTTAGCAGCCAGGTTTTATTATTTTTAATATTTTAAACAAAGGAGAAAAGGAAATAGGGACTTTAATTTCAGCTGTTGTTTTTTAGCAAGCCAAACTCTATATCCAGTAACCAAGACATACTGACTAGTTTTGTAAATTATGCCTTGACATTTTATCTTCTTTCCTATTTCCGCAGTAAGCAAACTAAAACTTAGGCTCTGGTTCAGAAATGTTTTCTCTTTCGCTGCCCCCTCACTCCACACACACACACACACTTCCCATTTCAAAGCTGATTTTAGAGTCCTGCAACAAAGGGTGTTCTAGTGGCCAGTTTCATTTGCACAAGAAAAAACAACAGTTATTCTGCCTCAGGTTTGCATTGCTTTTCGGGGCTCATCTTGATTTTCCTTTTTTTGGGTTTGCTTTTTTAAGAGGAACAGCAATTAACTGCTATGTTAATGCAAAGCCTAGCTGGGTATTTTTCAGGAAGCTGCCTTGTAAGACATGCAGGCTCTCCCTCCCTTGGTGGAACACACTGCCCATAGTGCCCCAGCAGGGTGCTCTGGTGTCTGAGCTGCAGCCAGTGTGCAAGGATTGAAATCATTAGTTTATAGGCAAGGGTCAGCCACCATTTCTTGCCAAGGTATTCTTGGGAAAGACTGCAACCATGTTCCTCTAAGTGACCCAAGCTAAGGTTTTTATTTGACAGAGAGGCTTGATTTTGTTCCCATAGAAACTGTGTGTGAACACAAAATATGCAGCATATTACTGTTTCAATATTTCACCAGAAAAAGAGAGATAAAGAGGAAAAACAAACTTTGGTGCTTTATTCAACTTACCTTTTCATTCCATGCCCACAATCCAATCCCAAGAAATGCTATGCCAAGGAACTAAAGGAAAACGAAACAAAAAAACAGAAATTAGAAATCAGCAGTGGTTTTTGTCTGTTGTTTTTTTTTTAAAGATACATATTGACTCATCCACTCTGTTGGATAATAATTTTATCAGGACTGAGAGGCGCTCAGTGAGAGTTTTACAATACATATCTGTTTTATTTTACAATTCAACTACTTTCAGTTGAAGAATTTAAAACTTGCAGAACTCGGGGATGTCCCACACAGGAACAGTAGGTGCAGTAGGTGCCACTTTAGCAGTACTGATCACACAAGGTTCTTTTTGAGTTTGTTGGACTCAAAGCAAACTCCACAGTCAAACAACACTTTTGTTTGCTATTTCACTATTGCATCACCACTGCCTACACAAAGCAATTGCCCTCTCAGCACTCTCCCAGTTAGAAAGTGTTTTAAAAAAATTCTAAATACACATTTATTATCAGTTTTAGCAATGCTATCCATATAAAATAACCCATCATTTCTGAGGGGAAAAAAAGAAAAATAATACTGGTTAGAAAGACTAAAAATTTTTAAAAGCACTGCAGCTGATATTTGATAACTTTTCTGATAGTAACTGTTTCATAAGTGACGATCCATTTCCTTTCTCCCCCATCCCCAGGGATTCAACAGCACCAAACTCAAGAGATGGTCTTTCCCCATCATGAAAAAGGGAACAACCATCTTTGATTTTGTTACATCCATGTTCTCCAGTCCACTGAATAATTTAAAATGCATCATTTCCCTCCAAATCTACAGGGATTCCATACAAAAGCTACACTAATGATCAGTGGAACAAGCAAAACAGGCAGAATTAGAACTCCATCTCCCAACATCATTAGTGCATATTTGGCACAATACAGTATCAATCATGTAACATGTTTAAAAAACATTTAGTAGATGTATGAGCACATCTCTAAATGTCCATCTGCCCAACTTGCATATCTGATTTTCTAAGTGCCAACTAAAAAGAAAACTATTTTCACTATAGTTTCAGGGCATGCAATAGAATGTTGCTCAAACATTCTAAAACTGATTTTCTTTGTCATTTCTCTACACTGCAGTGGACAGACTTATTCTGGCACATAAAGACCCTTTCTCTTAAGATCTGTGTAAACAATGAAGAATCCTAGTGATTTCTCTTTTGCAAACAGAACAAAAGTGCTTTTCTGTTGAAAAGTGGGAGGAGGCAGGAATATAAACTTTAAAACCTTTTTCAGAAGTGATTTCAACAGTTTCAAACAAAGACTCCTTCCTTACAAGCACTTTTTTTGAGGGGGCAATTTTAGCTTTGTATTACAAAGATATCTGTAACTCATTATCAAGCAAACACACTCACTACAATGCCCTGAATTGTAGCCCCTGCATTTCAGTAACTTTCTCCTCCAAGTGTGCTGTGCCAGCTACCCAAAGGACCACGCATACTGGGAACAAAACTTTTCCTTTTCAACCTGAAGAGTCATGACTGCAAATTTGAGCAATACTAGAAGTCACCATTCTTCAAAGGAAACTGTTGCAGGCTTGGTTGCATTTTAACAAAAGATAAATGGAATTTTTTCTTAGATAGAAAGCAGGACTGCTGGTCAAGAAAGTCTTATTTCAACAGCCTTCATTATTTATAAATACAAGATGTGGATTTGAGAAAGTCAGTACAGCCTCTTCTAATACAACACATAAAAGCTAAAAAAAGTCATCTTACCTGCATCAAAACTGCCCTTTTTATGGGTATAACGCTTGCCAAAAGATTGTGCGTAATCTTCCTGACTGCAGTGATTATTTGAAACTTGAGATAAAGCTGTTCAAGTTTCCAAATGTCTCTCAGACAAATGCAGCTTTTTTTGCAGTAACAGGCTCCTTTCCTCCTTTCTTATACAGCCAAAGGCATCACAGCTGAAGGAACAGGGCGGGCAGCAGGGGGGAGTTACATATTGTAAAAATCCTGAAGTTACATTTGGAAGTGGCAAATTGTAAAGAGGCAACAAACATTATGTTTTGTGAACAGGTTGGTATTGTTTTGAACAGAACAAGCATGGAAAAACTAGAATGGAAGTATTTGATCAGTGAATGTAACGTTACATCCATACATATCAGCTGCAGGTCTGGCCCAGCTTCACTGGATTAAATTTATATAAATTTAATCCAGTCACATGTCCTGATCCTTCAGCAGAACTTGAGACCTAAGAGTAAGATTACCTCATGGGTTGCAAAAGGTGACTTAGAGTAAACTACACAGGTCTCAAGCCAGGCTGAGCTCACCCCAGTTACAGACTGGGCGATCAGACTGTACTGTGCTGAACTGAAACACCTAAAAAACAACACTGTCTAGTTTCTGTCAAGAGAACAGTTCTGTTCTCAGTTCTCTGAGTTTCCAAAAGGATAAGAAATTACATGCGGCTCTGTCCTCTCCACATCCTAACCCAGAAATGCTTTTTTGAGCAGATGAAGAACAAAAAGCAAGATCCATTAGGAGACAAAAGATTCAGAATGGAATCATGAATTCTATCACAGGATGCTGTGGAAATCAAAAGCATAATGGCATGCAGAAAAAAAATAGGTAATTAACAGATGGCCCATAGTATTGAAATGTGATTCTGATGCAGCTTCTGGCTCAGAAAGTTTTTACACTGACACTCATTGGGAGATTGAAATCAGGAAAAGACTGCTGCATGCATGTTTTGTTGGTTAAATGCCTCTTGCCCTGGAGAAACTTTACTTGGCCTACTTGAGACAAAACACAGAGGGAGGCAGACCACTCACCTAAGCCCCTACAGTCACACCCTAGGAAGGGCCCACCTTGGCACAAACACAGCCTGCTGTGGGGATAAAACCCACAGGAATGCTCTCTGTAATCCCACTGGCAGAAAACAGATGCTCATGAGAAGACTTACACCTCTCACCAGGATTAACTTTGGATTTTCTTGACCATTACAAAAGAAACTCCTGCATAGGCTAAAATTATTTGGAAGAAATTCCAATGAGCAATAAAAAGGTGGAAGTTTACCTCATTATCAACAATTCATTTTACAGAGAAAAAGCCTCAATTCTCCACAGACATCTAATAAGACCATCTGGTCTAACTATAAATGGTCACTGCCGCAGAGCATGCAAAGTCTTGATTTCCTTTATTTCTTTCCTTTTTTATATAATAATTTTCAGGAGAATATTAAAACATTTCTCTGGAGCATTAGCCTTACAAAAATCCAGTTGCATAGCAGTATTTTCCCAGCCATAAGTTTTCTATTCACAAATGAAACCCAAATGTTCTTATATTTCTTTTCTATAAAGATTAAATGTATTTAAAAGTAGAAGGTGTAGCAGTAGTTGCATTGTTAGTGTGCTTGTGAAATGGACATGCTGTTTTCTGAACTGAATTGACCAGCATTTCAAGCCATACATATTTTATTCTCAGTCTTGCCTGCATGGAGGAAAAATATTCTTTTTTTGGTAAGGATGCATCATCACACAGCACAGCACTGCATTTAAAGGCTATTGGGGCAAACAAAAAGGCCAGAAAACCTTTGAGAGGCACTTCATCATAGACTGACCAGCCATTACTAAACATAGGGAATTTTTCACCTCAGCTGACATTCTTAAATAACTTGGCACCAGTTTTCAACTAAAAGGATGACAGCAGCAGCCAAGCAGTAAGAGGTAATGTGCCACATGCATAAACCAGTGCACATTCAAGTGTGGTTACATTAAACACTTGTGAGAGGTGGAAGCCTTGTGCAGGCACCTCATTTCACCTTCCTTGTCACAACACAAACACACCAGCCAAAGCCTGCCAAAGCTGTCAGAGTTCAGAACCAGAGCTTGCAGGCTACAGCTTTTCTGGTTTATTGGGGTGGGGGGGTTTGGGAGGGTGTTGAAGTCCTGTATTTTGGCAGTGTGAAAAACTCCCACTTGCCCTTCTTTGAGGAGCCACAAGAATTTTGTGCATGGTGTTAGTTAGCAGGCAGACTAGCAGGATTCCTATGGCACTACAGCGTTCCTGTATGCTGTAGGTTATTCACTGAGCAAGGCCTCCTGCTGTGATTCAAGCAGCACAGCACAGAGCAGAAGGTGCAGTGTTTTACCAACAGCACAGTGGTGATCAGGACAACATGAGGTATAGCAGCTCACATCCTGAAATACAGTCAGGGAAACACACGGCTCCTGAGCTTTGTGTGCTGACAAGTTCCAACTGAACTCCAAAACCCCAAATGGACAATTTTTCCCAAAGAACTTCCTCTGCAGCAGTCTGTGCTCAGACTCAATCAAAACTCTTTTAGCTGCAATACTCACTGCTTCTCTGAAGTATTTTACGCCAAATAAGTCCTTTTGCTTTTTAAGCCAGGGCAAAAAATGAGCTTAATGTATGTGTCAGTTTTTGTCTGTGTCAAAAAAGGATTTAGTTGTTGGTTTTGTCCCTTGTTTGCTTTTAAGTAGCTCTGACAGAGAAAGAGCACCAAAGTAGAAATCAAAGTTACACATAGTTTTCTTCTCTCCTTCGTGCCACTGATGTGTACTCTGCTTAAAATATGTCACTTAGCATTCTCTCAAGCAGAACAGATAGGACATCCTCTCAACTCTACAGCTTTCACCTGGACCAGTATCACATGGAAGGGAGGTACCATAAGTCTGCTCTTGTTTCTGTTTCCATATGCCCCAGTGTTTCAATGACTTTTCCATTCTCAACATAAATTGTTAACGCATTTCATTTTCACGCGGCTAAAAAAGCGTGCTGATGAAAGGAGAGGCAAACTGCCCAAAGCACACTTATACATTTACACATCTATGCTGATGCTCTCTTCTAAAGCCCATTTCTTCTTTGCCTTGAGATTAACAGCAAGAAAACTCCATGTACTACAGTCAGTGAGTGAAGGTGCTGATGAAGATGCTGCGTAGGTGACTAATTACCATTTTAGTTCACAGCAACATTCAGACACAGAATACAGGATGTCAAACCCATTTCCATTTTATGTGCAGTCTCTAAAAAACATTATACTGTATTTCACAGA